GGCCTTAGTTCGTCAGTTTCGTCGATCTTATGTAAGTACTTCTCGTGGGGAGAGTGATGCGCTTTACTTTGGAAGTAGCATTCAAATTTTTTCAGCAAGCAGGAGCCTTCATTCACAGTGGATAAAGGGGGTACGAAAAACAGGTAACACCGGAAGATCACAAGCAGTAACTGCCGAAACTTGCAATCGTTAATATCATGAATCGCCGGTGAGTGAGCAAAATTCGCTGCAGATTTGACCTCCTTCTAAACGGTGTTAGTGTAGTGTGCAAATGCCCTCATTACTGTAGTTCGGATAGACAAGAGGGAAAAAGATCTGTAAATAATGAGCAAAATAGGCCAACGGATGTAAATATACGAAAATCCCTATGTAGACGGAGAGCAGCAAAGAATGACGGCTCCATTTCAAAAGCCTACCTCATGTCTCTTAGTTGGACTGGGTTAACTGAATGGGTTCTTTAGAATATCGTTCCGGAAACGCTTATTTTGACCCTGCCTATATATGACCCGGAGATATCCCAAAAGGAGTCAGTTCGACAGGCGATTGTCAGTCATCCTCTGAATACGGCAGCTTCATCGCAGCTCTTCTGCTAAAGTACGGCATAAACCTCGGCAAACGGATCGACCAAGGACTTGAGTGTCTGCAATCCGCTCTTTTCACCTATTGTTATATCTTTCAAAGACAATTTAAATTGAAATAGTTCGGTTCCGTCGTTAACTATGAAGATTGGTTGGAGCTCCCACCCCACAGAGGGGTGTTATAGGGCTGGCAAACCTGTGCATCCTTATTTGTACATTGAGGCCATGCCGGGGGAATTTCAGACTGCGTATTACAGCCCGGCAGAGGCTTATCTGGTTATAGAGATTTATCTTTAGTTTCGACAGTCGGGATGCTGTTTCTCAGGCAAGCAAGCCAGTTGGTCATTGTGTGCCGCTTGATATTAACAGCCACCATGGGTTTCGCGTATTAGACAATACGTTTTAGTTGGTGCACGACAACGGTTTCCGCGTGTTGAAGGTTAGTTCGAAAATGCAAAACTTCAGCTGAAAAGGTTAAGAGTTCACTCCAAATTCCTTTCTTTCATGGCGTCTGATGCACAGTTGCAAGCCAAATGCAGACCATATGACGGTTGGCATGCGAGTTCGATGCAATGATTATTGTTGGTACTCGGAATTGCGGATAACATAAGGGGGAGGGGAATCGGAGCAAGGATGTAGCCCGTCTTCGGCCCATTGATCAAAGCAAAGGCCCACGATGCGAACTGATCGTCCGTTACCTCACCCGACATAAAGCTACTCGCCCACAAACGTGAAGCGCTACGGCAGACTGTCGATGGGAGGTTCAGAGCGCACATAAAGTGCCCTGCCTAACGCTTCAACACTTACGACTCCCTCGCCAGCAGGGTTGCGCCGTCCGAGTTGAACATTGACGTAGAGCCTGAGTTGACGACGGTAACTTCTTTGAAGGCCGCGAAGAGGTTCTTTATTTCATTCATGTCCAACTTCACTGAAGCCCTCTTCCACAGAGGCCGACCACGTAATTTGACGCACTGTCCCATTTCCGAGGCGACGATTCGTCACAGACATGGTCAAGAGTGCATGCACTCTGTCTTCTTGCCTTTGTGAAGGCGAAAGACGCGTCGGTAATGAGAGGGCTTTGGACTGTGCAGGTCTACAACGGGAGTCCACTGATGTTGTAATGTCCATTGCCGTGACAACCACGCACTATTTCGTAATGATACAATCTGGGAAGACTCGGACAGTGGACCCACCGAAGGTAGACAAATTGACTATTTTCTGCACAGATACGATGGGGACGTACAGGCCCCCTGAAACTTGTTCTTCTCGAAGTCGGAGATTACCAGTGTTGGAGTGCAGGGGTTGGTAGTGACAACACGTCTCTCCCGATGGAGTGGGAACCGCACTAAGATGGGATGATGAGTTCTAGCGTCTGGCAGGGAAGGCAACATTCTGATGAGATAGGTTGCACTGGCGAAGGCGACTACAACACAACTTTCCTGAATGCGGCGGCCACATCCGAGGAACGCGTATTCTGTTCCATCTAACTCTTTGCGGGCCCAGTTGAGGGCAGCGAGGTCCACAATATAACCAGCCCGTCGTCAGTCGATCGCTCTTTATCTCTAGCTCGTTAACCATACAGTTGACAAAAAGCAACTTTCATTGACAGAGTGGGCGATTACTGTGGCGGGAGGGGCAGGGGATAAAAGCAGCCGCCCTGACCGACTCGTTCTCACGTCGTCCTGACGATCCGTTCACGCGCAGTAGGTGCGCCGACGTCGCGCCAGCTCGCCGACAGGATTGGAGCTCTGACTAACAAGTCAGATTTGTCTGGCTGACACGCTAACCATCCAAGGCCACTATCTGATTGGCCTGATTTCCATCCGACCTTGAAAGTTACGGCATGTTCCTTTCTCACCTTGTAGACGTTACTAGAATGCGTCAACAGACTACTCCTTTCCCGCCTTTGGCGTCAAGTTCTGATTCGAAAATTCGATCGAGGCCCGTTGTTAGACGGGCAACCACCGAGGCGTGCGGCCATCTCGTAACGGGACTGTTGCTGTTTCGCATAGTTGCCTCGATGGCGTGTTCGGCTTCCACTAACCTAGCACCAGGCAACCCGGATTCGGTGAAATGAGGGTAAATGAGATGAGCTGGAGGAGATATAGGCCTCGAGAAACAAGGCGCGGCAGGATACCGATAAATTCAAGGGGTTTTGAATTGCGCACATTTTAGGTGTTTCTAGAGTCCGCTCATGGATACCGGCCATACTGAGACCCCGAAAAGATAAACACGTGATGTAGTACGTTCAAATTGGCTTCATACTTAACTACTTAGGTTTCGGGGTTAGACACGGTGGGCCAAAAATTGCCTAGGTTTCTCAGGACTCAGGGAATTCGATCGTAGTTGAGCTATTTCTCATCTAAAGTTAAGATTCTGAGGGTTAAATTCTTTGAGATTTGAAAATAGGAGAGGTGTCAGAGAATCAAGTCAAAGCGAGCACAATTTATTGTACTGGCCGACAATTAGCTGTCTTCCATAAATAGAATACCGTCAGCACTTTATAACAGAAAAAGGACCGCCCGACCCCGTGGTTCTGTGTTTTATCGCTTGTTCGAAATATTTGGTAAGTCCGTCTGCAGTACGTTAAACACCTGTCATAGCAGCTTAGATCACAGACAGAAAAAAAACCAATAGAAACTTCAGGCCAGGTGCCCAGTAAGAAGACGCTAGTGGTGGAGCAATTCTTTTCCGTAGAGGACAGAAAAAATGTGAGCTAAAGCACTCCAATGCCACAGGGGCAGGCGTTTGAGGGCATGTCAGCCTCTGCCTTGGAGTTGCTACCTCGGTTTCGATAGCTGCGATTGGCCGAGCACCATTTCACGTGCAAGCATGCGCCTGGCAGGGGCGCAGTTCTCCCGCGGAAACTAGGAGCAGGGTCAATATACACTAATCAGCCGCCCCCCCCCGAAATGATACAGCTCTTACGGGGTAATATGGGAGAAGACCCGAGGCGAGCCAGCTAACGTAGGCATGCCAAGGTCAACAGTGTGACCCTTGATAAGAAGAAGAACGATCGCTGGAAAGAAGGATTTTATTCGCCTGAAGTTTCGGATCCTCACTTGAACCCATCATCGGAGAAATTGGCAGAAACGGGTGATTCGCGCACAGGAGGCTGCAGTATTTATAGGATGCAGTCGCTATGCTATTGCATACCTATGATAATTAACCGCGCTCCCCTTCATCAAGGATTGCTCTCCGCTGGCGCATTGACAGTTCGACCATCGGTTTCGATTATGTCCACCGTGTGCCCCACAGTTGCAGCAGCAATCAGAGCAGGGACGGTGACTTACGCAGGGGTTTATAATGCCGGTAGACTTGCGTAGCATCTACCTACACTCTCTCCTCCTCCCTCGCCCGAGCCCGGTGTCAAGACAGAGTCAAGAAGACCGCAGACGAGGGAGGCCGTAGGTGGATGGCTCGGACGGATTTTCACCTTGGCGTTCCACCACACCCCCTGGTCCACACAACAAATGACCAGAAGTTCAACCAATCACAACAGAGATTTGGAGGCTGGCACGGCCGAAGCC